GACTACTAGTTTGCACATCAGTGTATGTATGGGTATAGGCGTCCTCACTAGGAGCCATGTGTGTAAGGCCTACTTTTCCAACACCTGCAGCAGGTGGGCTTCGGTCTCCCTGCCTATTATGATTGTGCCTAGTTGTATGTATTGGGAGGCCGGCGTCAGCTCTAGCCGTATGATTGGGGGGAACTTTTCCACTTCTAGTGCGCCCGTGAGAGATGCTGTCACCCGCTCTACTCTCTCCAGTGCGGCCATGAATCATCTCCTCATCCGTTCCACTAGGTTCTTTGTCAATTATCTCCGTATGTACTTCTTCTTGTGGTAGATCAAATATATCAATTTCGGTAGTCTCTGCATATGTCTCGTGTTTTCTTTATAGTAATTGTGGCCATGATTCGTATGCATTTCTCTCTTCGTCGAAAAATGACATCTGATTGAGTCCTTATCGTCGTAAATTCTGGATCCCATATCCTCCATGTAGTGGTGCTATCGTGAACATACCTGACCATCATGCAACCGGATTTAGATCTTGGCCCGAGTGTCTCATCGATAGGCTGGCGCTCTGGAATTAATTGACTAACATGGCATCCGAAATGACAAAAATGTTCAAGTGGAGCTTCATAATTTAATGTCGTTCGAGTGGGGTTATCGGCTGGTTTATCGTATTCCGGCTTTCCGTAGCTGTGAAGCATTTCGTACGCAGTTTCATATGGAGCCTTGTTGCCGTCTTGATCGTCTGTCTTTGTTAGGCCCTCATTCGACATTCGCTGGTGTAGATATACGGCCATATTCACTGCTTCCCCCCAGAATTCGTGGTGTGCTTGAGAGTCAAGAATCATGGCTCTAGCATTCTCTGTAATTGTTCTGACCATTCTCTCCGTGACTCTGTTTTATGGTGAGCATATGGAGGGCAGAATTCTAAAGCGGTACCAAGTACGGCTAGAAGAATCCGGAGGAGCTTGCTATCGAATTCTCCTCGGCCATTGTCGCATCGGAATCGTTTACTTTTGTAGCCTTTGATATATGTGTCGACTTTAGCTTGGACATGCTGATATGCGGCGATGCAAGTTTCTTGTTTCTTATCCAGGAGTAGGTAGACTGTTGCCCAGTGTGTGTATTCATCGATGAAAAGAATGTAGTGTAAATGACCTGGCTTTGTCGGAGTTCCTAATGGGCCGCATGTGTCTGAGTGGACTAGCTCGAATGGCTCGATTACTCGTCGAACCTTGGGGCGTATAAATTTCTGCTTATGTTTCGCCTGGGTGCAAACGTCGCATATTGGGAGTTTAAGATCTCGGAGCCAACAATAAGGCTTTGCATTGCCGCAGGGTGTAGATGGGCCAATCGACGATGCCACAGGCGGGAGGTAATCAATGATTTGTCTGGTGTGAGAATAGTTAAGGAAGGTCCACTTGTGGGCTGGCTTCCGCTAGTTTCGGAGTTGAGTGCATTGGCGTGGGATTGAAGAAAGTTGAGATCTCCGACAAGATTTGCAGTAAGTGTGATTGTGTTAAATGATAAGGAGCAGACGCCTCGTCGAAAGGTAGTGGTGTAGTTGGCGCGGTCAAGCTGGTTGATTGAGAGTCAAGATAAATGAAACGTAGGTGTATAGACTGCATTCAGTCGTAAAGTAGTCGATTTCTGTGATATGTTAATGAGACCATGGTGGGCAGCGATTACGGTTGTTTCATTTCCGAGTTTTAATAGAGATTGGAGATGCCAGTCTTTTATAGGAAACGAACGAGTGACAATCGTTACAAATATGGTGAGAAGCACCTGAATCTACGATCCAGGTTGTGGAGGAAATTGTTGAGGATAAAGTATTTGCGGTGAAAAGGGCGACATATGCGGTATTGCCAATGGTGGCTTGTTCGGTGTGGTCCGTTAGTCAGAAGAGGTTGTCTCCGGCGGAGCTGCCGGGCTAGGCCAGTGCTGCATTTGCTTCCGCCATTTTGCCATTACCGCCGGTGTTTCATTTCATGACCTTATTTTGGGTGTCGCGCCCTCTCTGGCATACGTGGCATTCAGTTCTAACATGACCTTGTATTCCACAGTAGATACATAACCTGTTGTCTTCCTTCTTGAAGCTGACGCTCCCACTGTATGTGCCGTACCACTTGATGATTCCACAATTCTCAGTGCTATGGTTATTCATTTTGCAGTGCGTGCAGGAGTATTCATTACCATTTTGATTCTTGGTTTCTCTTCCTCGATTTCAGTAGCCTCGCCAGTTGTCACGGCCACGGCCAGGGCCGCGACCTCGGCCTTGGCCTTTGAAGCCGCCTGGTTGTATGTAGAGTGCTGATCCGGTGGTGGCGTCTCCGATTTCATTGGTGATGGCTGTAGTTCCTTCGTCCTCTTTTAGAGCGTCCATGACTTCTTCGACTGTTGGAATAGGAGTTTGACGCTGTAAGAATTTTACCGTCATGCCATACTGTCCTGGCAATGTGGTATTTACGTGTGTACGAAGTTCATCATCGGAGATGGCTTCGGTCGATCCAGCTAGCTGATGGCGGAAATCTCGGAGCTTATTGAAGTAATCATGGAGTGGTTGATCCTTGTGAGGTCGAGTCGGGCGGAATTTGAGGAGAAGTGCAGTTCGACTGATGAGTGTTGTTGTATTATCATGGCGCCTCTGAGGTGTGTGCCATATCATTCGTGCGTTTCGCACGCCCTTGAGGTAGGTTCTAACGTCCAGAGCGCAGGAGAGTAGTATGGAGGTGTCGGGCTGGGCCTCTCGGGCCTTCCAATTGGTATAGTCGATATCGAGTGTCTGGGGGTCGTGATCTTCTCCAGTGACAATGTTGTACGCTCCCATGGCTTCGAGAACGAGTATCATTGTCTCTACCCACAAATCATAGTTAAGGTGAGTAACAAGGGGAACGTTAGCCCATTGGGTCATGTTGTAGTTCAGCAGGTTGGAGGTTGGAGTAGACATCATGAGATTTCTCCGTGGTGGTGTTGAGTTCAAATTAGGTTGTTTGTTTAGATGTTTTAGTGTCGTTGCTAGGGTGACAGGATATCAGTGGTACGGATAAAGTTGGATGACGTGATTATTGTGTGAGAAGTAACTAAAAGAGGTAAAGAGTGTTTCAGGCAGGGATAATGGATTGTTAGATGATTGCGACCGCCGGGCTTATAACCTGTTATTTAGAGTGATCACAATATCCTTGATTGCATTAAGGTCTAGCAAGTAGACAACCTCTATATATATACTAGTGTCGCAACGAAGAGAACAAGCCCTGAGGCAATAACGCAAAGACAAAGGAACAAAGAGATGAAAATTCTAGATACTCCAAACAAAAGACAAAACATTTCCGTGGCCTTCTGGCTGTTCAGTCATGATCATATAAGATCCTGATGTATATATGCAACACTCCATTCAATAACAAGGTCGAGTGCGATTCCATGATGCGATAAGGGGCACACACTAATATCGACAAAGCATGCTACGCGGGATGTGACGATGACAATATAGCCAAAACCATTGAGAAACCGTACTGGATAGACTTCAGTGACTGTGTGGAAGATTTAACAAGTTGGGCAATGCCGCAACATACTAAAAAAGAAAAGTGTAGATATAATATCCTGGGCAGCAATCATCAAAGTAAATGTTTGCGATATAGAGTCCGACTATTACTGCTGCACATTGCACTGTGCCCTGATCCTCCATCAGAGGTATAGGGCTGAGATCATGACTCAATCGATCGAAGTGACAACTTTGGTGGAGACTAGCGACAAACTGGGAACTTGATTAATGGGTACCAGTCCACAGCTATGATAGACTTGATACCTACCGATCAATGTGATGGTGGTGTACGATATTCCGATCAAGGCTCTACAGGGCTGAGCCAAGGGGCGCAGACCTGCGGAAACATAATATAGGGCATCGCACAAAGGGTAGATGATGATTGTAAGAACGAAGACCAGGAGTATTTTTGAAAATGGAAGGGGAAGATTTGAAGCAGCTTTTCTTGCATGTGGCAATCTGTTTCCGGTAGAACGGGAATATAGGGAGTAGGATTGGTGCTTCTGTACATTTTGTATTTTCATCGCTTACAATGTGAGATTTGACTTTATGCAATTTGTACTCTATAAAAGCCACATCTGCCAATGACAGCTATTTTACACTTCTGAGTCACCGAAACTCATACGACGATGTCTGTGCATAACAGGCTTAAAACAGTCGGCATATCCGAGATGAATGGCCAAGGTTCGTGCCCGAGTAAGGACAGCAACTGGAACAAAATCAAGCCATCAGTGCTACAGCACCGATGGCCACTGGGTATAAAGATGACAGAGAATTGGGAGACACAGGAAGGTACTTAAGGCCATGAATGATGTGATGCCAGAAATGAAGGAGCAACCACTATGTAAAGGAAGGTGAATGACAGGACATGGTGGCAAACAGTTTTGATTAGGTGGCTAATCCGCACACATGGTTTCCAATAGTGTGTACTGGCTAAACAGGGATCTCAACTATCCTGGACTATGACATTGCGAGCAGGAATTTCTCGGACTCTAAGACAATGGGTGTTCAATGGTTGCTTGATTCTTTATGTAATCTATGGAGAAATCTATGATCTATATATGGCTTTACATACAGTCTGGAACTCTCGTGCTTATGTATCATATGCGTGCAAGTCATGTGTTGACAGACGTTCGGCCAAAGGAGTTCCTGTTACCGGAGGCGCTAAGGCTAGAGATTTGGTATCAGTGGTTCATATATTTCAACCAAGTGGCTAGTTCCGGATGTGAGCTCAACGAAGCCTAGCTTTACAGCTCTTCATGAGATTTCACTCGGGATCTTGCGTTAGGTGTGCTTTTCCTTCATATATAAGCCAGCTCTTTTCTTTTCTCTTTGTACGGTATACAATTAAGAACCTCAGTCTTCCTTCTTTGTACTCATCACCACGAACCACATATCAGCAATAAACTTCATACAACCCATGAACATCATGCAAGGTTGGAAACAGTGTTGGAACATGTCAATCTATACACATCAAGGGCCGGTGGCACAATGATAGCACATCCTTCCAGTATAGGAAAGATTCTAGGTTCGACTCCTAGCCAGTCGATTCTTTTCTTGGTTTCGACAAACAGTAAACGAAAAGAATACCATGTCTTTTGGTCAAACTGCCCATGGCCTAGAAACTGATCATGCAATCATACACATAAGCGCCCAAGCAGGGGTTCGTATTTACCCCGCTTCTTCATTTCATTTGCAGCTTCCCACTTCATCACCGCAACCATGGACAGAGTGAAGCCCAGACAACCGGCCGCTGATAGAGAAAATGACATCCAGGATACCAAACAAGTATATCTTGATGATGAAGTAATGTCCATCCGCTTAGCAGCCTGAACTTATGGCATTACTTTTGGTACCCTGCGAGATCGACTCAGTGATGCTCAGCCCCACAGTGGTGCACATGAGAAGGAGCAGCTACTCACGTCTGAGGAAGAGAAATCAATGGTAAGTTGCTCCAAAGCTCTGGATAACTTGGGATACCCACTGCAAGGGAAGATGGTTAAGGAATTTGCCCTATCTCTAATACCCCCACAACATCGCCAACAATCAGGAAATATTGGATTACTTGCTTCCTAAACCGATATCTTGGTATTAATGGCAAGTTTAGTCAGGGCCTGGATCGCAAGAGGGCGGATACAAATGACCCTGTCCTCCTGAGAGACTTCTTCTGCAAAGTAAATCTGTTTCAAATACCTCAATATTTTTGACCAATGACTGGTCTGCAGATGGGAAAACTTATTAGGAAGCTCAATACTTGTCCAGAAAACATTGACAATATGGATGAGAAGGGGTTCATTGTTGGTCAAGCTTTGAAAGTCTAGGTTATCTGCTATAGAGGCCGATAAAATGCCTGTTACAGCCAGAATGGAAACCGGGAAATAATTATAGTTATAAAGTCTATATCGGCAGCCAGTAAGGTTATACCACCAATATTATTATTATAAGGAGGTCTCTGAGATCATGCAATGTCCGCACGAAGCATTCTGATTTGTCCACAGGTGGTACATCCCTGCAAAAATCATTATGATTGGTTGACTTGATGCCCCCCGTGCTCCAGAAAATGCGAAATCCAAACATTCCAGCTCAATTAAGTCTCTGATTTTCACCCTGATCACAAAGTAAATTATACATTCAATATGTGTAAGTTGTCACTCTTTTGCCTCCCAGTCTCTGATTTGCAATCCGATCAATATTTGTGGAGTCGCTGTGGAAAAGCGGCGATTTTGGCCTGATTTTTGCCATTATACAATGGCGGCAAAGCTGCCTCCAAAATTTGCCAGCCAAGATCAAGGCCAGCTCGATCATCTTCAGCCACCCGAGAGCCAGCAGAGATCCAGACCTGCTCGATCATCTCAAGCCAGCCAAGAGCCAAATCGGCTCGATCACATCCAGCCAGCCGAAAGCCGGCCCAGCTTGATCATCTCCATTAAGTCGAGTGCCAGCTTGACTCGATCGCGTCCAACCAGCTGAAAGCCAGACTAGCTTGATGCTCTCCAGCCAGTGGAGAGCCAGCCCGGCTCAATCACATCCAGCCATTGGAGAGCCAGCCCGGCTCAATCGCGTCCAGCCAGCCAAAAGCCACCCCGGCATGATCATTTCCAGCGGACCGAAAGCCAGCCCAGCTCGATCATCTCCAGCCAGCCGTGAGCCAGCCCTGCTTGAACATGTCTAACCAGCCGAGATCGTACGTTCTATTGGATTGTCGAATCATTTCACTCGCTTCAGTTAGGCAAGACACGGATGACGTCGCTCCTACGGAGTCACCATCCTACGTTCTGTTCAATTGTCGAATGATTTGACTCACCGCAGCTAGCCAAGACATTGATGACGTCGCGCCTACGGAGTCACCATCGTATGTTCTGTTTGATTGTCGAATCATTTCACTGGCCGCTGCTAGCGAAGACATGGATGACGTCCTTCCTACGGAGTCATCGTACGTTCTGTTCGATCGTTGAATCATTCCACTTTGCGTCTTCATTGATATATTTTGTGACCATTCCGATCTTGCTTCCGCACTGCATAACCTCCCTGTCGGCATTATTTGTCACCTCTGTCGTCCTGCCGTTACTTCGCGATTCTTGAGTTATAAAGTGTGGTATTACTCTCCCTACGATTCCTTATTTCGATTTCCGTACTCGACGCCTTCGTTCATTGGTCTAATGCTCATCTCCAGCGCCCAGCCAGCCTGTCGAGATCATCTCCAGCCGGCGGCCAGCCAGAGCGCATGCTGCCAGCCTCCAGGCATCCCGTCCAGATCCTGTCCAGCCAGCCCCAAGTCAGCACGTCTCGATCATCTCCATCCATATCATGTCCAGCCAACTGAAAGCTAGCCCGCCTGGATCGTTTCCGGTCAGCCTCCAACCAGTCCGTCCAGATCATCTCCAGCCAGCCTCCAGCCAGTGCTTCGAGATGGTGTCCAGCAAGCCGAGAGCCAGCCTATTCAGATTGCGTCCAGCCAACTCCTACCCAACTTCGCTTAATCACCACCAGCCAGCTTCGTTCAATCACCACCAGCCAGCTTCGTTCAATCACCACCAGCCAGCTTCGTTCAATCACCACCAGCCAGCTTTGCTCAATCAACAGCCACCAGCTGCTACCCAGATTCGCTCAATCACCACCAGTAATCTTTGCTCAATCAACAGTTGCCAGCCCCTACCCAGTTTTGCTCAATCACCACCAGACAGCATCGCTCAATTAACAGCCGCCAGCTCCTACCCAGCTTCACTCGATCACCACTTGCTCTCCTTGCTCAATCAACAGCCGCCAGCTCTTACCTAGCTTTGCTCAATCACCACCAGCGAAACCACCATCCCCTGCCTAACTTCGCTCGATCACCGCCAGACAGCTTCGCTCGATCAGAACCACCATCTCCTGCCCAGCTTCGCTCGATCACCACCATCTTATTCGATCAACAACCGCCATCATCTCTCAATCACCACCATCTTCTCTTGATCAACAACCGCCAGCTCCTACCCAGTTTCACTTGCTCACCACCAGCCAGCATCCATTGATCAAAAGCCGCCATCTCCTACCAAACTTCGCTTAATCACCACCATCTTCACTCGCCAGCTCCTACCTACTTTTTCTCAATCACCACCAGCCCTCTTTGCTTGATCAACAGCCGCCAACTCCTACCAAGCTTCGCTCGATCACCACTTGCTATCTTTGCTCAATCAACAGCCTCCAGCTACTATCGAGCTTTGTTCAATCACCATCAGCCAGCTTTGCTCAATCAACAGCCCCAGCTTCACTCAATCTCCACCAGCCAGCTTCGCTCAATCACCAGCCGCCAGCTCCTACCCAGCTTCACTCGATCACCACCAGCTATCTTGGCTCAATCATCAGCCGCCAGCTCCTACCCAACTTCTCTCGATCACCACTAGCTATCTTTGTTCAATCAACAGCCGCCAGCTCCTACCTAGCTTCGCTCAATCACCACCAGCCAGCTTCGCTCAATGAATAGCCGGCAGCTTCGCATGATCACCACCATCCATTATTGTTCGATCAACAGATTTCAGTTTCTACCCAGTTGTGTTCAATCGCCACCAGCCAGCTTCATTCAATCAATATCTGACAGCTCCTACACAGCTTTGCTCTATGATAACCGCCAGTTTCTACCCAGCTTCGCTCGGTCACAACCAGCCATCTTCGTTTGATCAACAACCTCCAGCGTCTACATAGCTTTGTTCGATTATCCTGAGAGGCAGCCCACCTTGATCATATCCAGCCAGCCATAAGCCAGCCCTACTTCATCGCATCCGGCCAGCTGAGAACCATTTTGGCTCAATCGTGTCCGGCCAGCTGAAAGCCATTTTGGCTCAATCGTGTCCAGCCAGTTGAGAGCCAGCCCAGCTCGACCATCTCCAGCCAGCCTGCATCAACGCGCAACCACCGGCTCCAACTGAATCTCCAAGTGCACTTGATTGAAATACCAATGCTTTAGTCTAGGTCGGCTCAATCGCCCGAGAGATAGATCCAGCTCGATCATCTCTAGCTAGCCGAGAGCCCGCCCGGCTCTATCGCGTGCAAGCAACCGTGAAGCAGCCATTTTTGCAATACCAAGTGTATCTAAGATTTACCATGCTTTTTGTATATAGTTAGCAATAAATTTTTGAATCAAAGCTGTGACCGTGAATTAAGGCTGCGACCGTACAGTGTGCTGTGTCTCGAAGCAAATGCTGCGTCTGTAGGCACCACAGTATGACGGCTATCGGTTCAACCAATTAGGTTCCTTGCGTGTAAGCAACTAAGGGCGGCAAAGCCGCCCCCCATAGCTAGTATATCTATAAAGATGGAAAGCATATATTAGGATGGCATGCTGGGGTTCAAGCTAAAGAGCAGGCTACATTTGCCAAGTCATCAAAGGGCTGAACCAATGATGAATTAGGGTTAGAATGGGGGGAAATGAACATTGAACAATTCACAGCTCAGGTGTAGGTACCATCGAAATGCTCTCCTGCGCATGCTGACTCCATTTTTGCTAAGTATCAGCCACGTATTCACGTTCTTGATGGATATGGATCATATTTGACATGGAAGTACCACCATTGTGTTTAAACAGAGATATACACCGCATATGCCTTCCAGCACACTGCACACATATCTTACAGCCAATGGATATGCGCCTCTTTGGTCCATTATCACGCTGCTATAGCGATGAGTTGGATTTATAGATGAGAAAAGGAGGTAATACCATTGAGAAGGGGCAATTCCATGAGTAGACACACCCTTGGAATCTCAGTTTATTCGGTTAATAACTTTTTCAATATACCTGTCACAGGCGCGAGGACTGCTGCATACACAGAGAAGAACATTTTGAGTGCATTCGATGCTACTGGAATCTGGCCATTGAACGCACACAAGGTTTTTGAGCGCCAATCGCGAAATATCACTATGCCAGATACCCCGCCAAGCTCTCCCGCTGCTGCCGAAATGAAAACTCTGCCAAAGCCCATAGGCGTCAGCAGATGACCGCGCAGTACATTATACCTTGTCGTCCGTCCAACACCTGCTTCTATAAAGCTCAAGTCTCCCATAGGTCATGTAACA